AAATCATCAATCCTCGGCAATGGATACTTATTCTTGATTGTAACTTTGTTCAACTGTCGGTAATCAATACACATTCTCATCGACCCATCCTTCTTCTTAACAAACAACACCGACGCACTCCAAGGCGAAACACTGGGTCTAATGAAACCCTTCTCAAGCAAGTCTTGCAACTGTTCCTTCAACTCTTTCAACTCAGGTGGGGCCCTACGATATGGCGGATAGAAATGGGCTGAGTGCCCGGATCCAAATCAATGCAAAAGTCAATATCCCTGTTGGGTGGCATACCCGGCAGGTCTGAAGGGAATACCTCAGGGAACTCACGAACAACGGGCACAGAATCAATTGATGAAACCTCTAACACTGGAATCGCGAACATATGCCAAATAGGCCAAACACCCCTTCTCGATCATACGCCGAGCCTTCACATACGAGATAACACTGCGGGTAGAATGACCAGGAGTCCCTCTCCACTCTAAATGCGGCATACCCGGTAAAGCTAAGGTCATAGTCTTGGCATGGCAATCCAAGATAGCGTGGTAAGGTGATAACCAGTCCATCCCCAATATAACATCGAAATCGACCATATCTAAAAGCAACAAATCTACACGAGTCTCAAGACCCCCAATCACCACAACACAAGAACGATGGACTCGATCGACCACAATAGAATCACCCACCGGTGTAGACACATAAACAGGAACGCTCAATGAATCACTAGGCATAATCAAATACGGTGCAAAATAAGATGACACATACGAGTATGTAGACCCCGGATCAAACAACACTGAAGCATCTCTATCACAAACCAGAACCATACCTGTAATAACTGCATCTAAAGCCTCAGCCTCGGGCTTGGCTGGGAGAGCATAACATCGGGGCTGGGCCCCACCACCCTGAACTACATCTCTGGGACGGCCTGCAGCTGGCTAGCCTCCACCTCTAGCGGCCTGAGCTTCACCTCTAGCATCTCTACCTCCACCTCTAGCACCTCTACCCCCACCTCTAGCTGGCTGGGTGGCCTGTGGGACACCTGGTGCCTGAACCATAGCGCGGGAACCCTGATGCGGAGAACTGCTCGAAGCTCGAGGGCAATACCTAGCAATGTGCCTCGTGTCGCCACAAGTAAAACAAGCCCTCGGCTGCTGGGGCTGACGACCTTGGAAACTTTGAAGCGGTAGTGCACTGATAGGTGTTGGTGGCGCACTGTAGGACTGCTGATCAGAATACTGTATCTGAGGACCACGGCTACCTGACGCACCGTGAGAAACCCGGAGTGCTGACTAGAAAGACCTAGGGGATGGTCTCTACCTCCAGACGAGTTACCACTGAATCTGCCTGTATGACGGGGCCTCTTATCCGACCCATGACCACCTCCCTATGGCAGGACCATCTCCACTCTCCTGGTCACATTGGCCGCCTCCTGGAAAGATATCTCACTCCCAGTCTCCCTAGCCATCTGAAGACGAATCGGCTGAATAAGACCATCAATAAACCTCCTCACCCTCTCTCTCTCAGTTGGTAGTATGACAAGAGCATGGCGAGCTAAGTCGATGAACCTGGTCTCATACTGGGTAACAGTCATGGAACCCTGCTGGGGGCGCTCAAACTGCCTCCGATAGGCCTCTCTCTGAGTAATGGGGAGAAACTTCTCCAGAAATAGCTGTGTGAACTGCTCCCAAGTCAAGGCTGACGATCCGGCTGGTCTAGCTAAACAATAATCCCTCCACCAAGTCTTGGTGGATCCAGACAAGCGAAACGTAGCAAAATCGACCCCATTGGTCTCAACAATACCCATGTTCCTGAGAACCTCGTGGCAGTTGTCTAGGTAATCCTGGGGATCCTCAGTAGATGCACCGCTGAAAGTAGAAGTGAAGAGCTTGGTGAACCCATCCAGCCTCCACAAAGCATCGGTAGACATAGCCGCTCCATCGCCGGTCTGAGCTACCACACCCGGCTAAATTGCTCCAACTGGCTGAACCGCTGGAGTCTGAATCTGAGGAGCTACCTGCTCCGGAGTGCGAGTAGCAGGAGTCTGGGCCCCTTCTCCAGCCTGAGAGACGGCTGGTGCTATAGGAAGCAAGCCTGCCCGGGTGACACTCTCCATGAGGCCCACTAATCGGACCAGAGCATCCTGAAGAACTGGGGTAGCAATAAACCCCTCTGGGACCTGAGCTGGGCCCACCGGAACTGCTGGGGCCGAAACCTCCTCATCAAAATCAACCTGAGGTTTCGTCACTGGTGCTGCTGCTCGGGGCTGAGCTCCGCCCCTACCTCAGCCTCTAGCACGGCCTCGCCCTGTGACCCTCGTGGAAGCTGCTGCTGGGGGCTCGGACTGCTGAGTGGTGGATGAGGAAGCGCGTGTTTTCGCCATCTGCGAAAGAACAGAGTAGAAATTCAATTAGCATTGAGAAACAAACCGCACGACAAAAAAGAACGAATGTGAAGTTTTTCCTAACCCAGTAGCCTCTGGGGGATAAATACAGATGTCTCCGTACCGATCCCTCAGACTCTACTGAGCTTGTCTGTGAATTGTGAGACCTATGTAACCTAGAGCTCTAATACCAACTTGGCACGTCCCGGATTTCCCACCCTTGGGAGTCGTGATGACGCCTACTCATAGAAGCTAGGCAAGCCACGAAATGCGGAAAATTCAACCTCTTTCATTTTAGCCTTTTTAACCAATTAAATTAGCAAGTAATCAGCATTTAAATAATGACGAAAGATGAAATTTAAGCGGAAGACTTAGATAAATATTATACCAAAACCGATACGAATAAAAATCCAACATATATCTCTACCCAGAAACTGGTGTCACAACATTCACGGACTGTCTAGGAATGCTACATACAAGTGTCTGAAAAAGGAAATATAGTCTGTCTTGGATACAAAAGAAAACAGAACATCTAAATGGATAGAAGAGACGCCGGTCCTGCGGACGCCTGCAGGGCTACCTCGGTGTCTCGGTGGACTGAAGGCTGGCTCCCCTACCGCTGCTGACCAAGCGCTGCTCCTATCGCTTCACATAAGTGAAGAGTGTAGCATCAGCACAACCGACCTCATGTGCTGGTAAGTGTCTGGCCTAACCCCGACGAGGTAGTGACGAGGCTAGGACCAGACTCCAAATAAACCTGTGCAGTTATATATATATATACAGCGGAAAGATAAACGGAAACAAACAATTAAAACTGGGGAGGGGAAACATGCTTCGGGGAATAACAGATAAGGCAGAATCTCAATAAAATTATAAGGAAACCAAAATTTAACTTCTAACAAGGATAAGGAAAATAAAGGCAAATTTCACTTTTAGTTTACATCTTGTTGCAGGCGTGCAACCCGATCCCATTTCATCATATCTTGTGGTATGCTTACCACGCGCTCTNCTAAATATACTGCCCCCTCAGATGCCCTGTGCGGACCGCACAAAATCAACTGCGGCCGCACAGGTTTCCTGTGTTCTGCAGTGACAAGTCTTAGTATTTTGGCCATAACTTTCTCTACAGATGTCCAAATTGTGATTTCTTTACCTTTCTGGAAACTAGACACGAAAGGCTACAACTTTCGTTTTTGAATCATCTCAAAATTCCTTATAGATCAAAAGATATAGGCTTCCGAAGTCGGACCAGTGAATTGTTCTTCACCGCGGACCGCACCAAAACTAGTGCGGCCGCACAGGCCTCTCCGCGGCAGCAGTCCATATCGTGCAGACCGCATTGGCCTGTTCAGAGGTACTCCACCTCTCTGAGCCTGCAACAGCTCAGTTTTTAAGCCTAAGACACCCCGGAACCTACCCGAAACTCACCCGAGCCCTCGGAACTTCAAACCAAGCACACACAAAACCTCAGAAACATTGTACGGACTTATTCGTGTAATCAAATCATCAAAATAACATCATGAACATCAAATTAAATCTCGAGATCAATGAAATTTTCTCAAAACTTCTTTAAACATCAATTTTGCGATTTAAGTCCGAATGACGTCATATGACATCCGTTTTTCACCAAATTCCATAGAAATGTCTTAAATCATATATTAGACCTATACCGGACGCCGGAACCATAATACGGGCCCGATACCACCATGTTCTAAGCAAATTTCATTTCAAATTTCTTTAAACTATTTAAAAAAGTAATTTTCTTTAAAAAATTCATTTCTCGGGTTTGGGACCTCGGAATCTGATTCCGGGCATACGCCCAAGTCCCATATTTTCCTACGGACCCTCCAGGACCATCAAATCACGGGTCCGGGTCTGTTTACCCAAAATGTTGACCGAAGTCAAATTTATTTATTTTACAGTCAAAACTTATCATTTTTCACAGATTTTCACATTTAAGCTTTCCGGCTACGCGTCCGGACTGCGCACGCAAATCAAGGTGGTGCTAAGGGAGGTTTTTAAGGCCTCGAAATGTAGAATTCCATTGCAACACAAGTGATGACCTTTTGGATCATCACAAAGATTGGGTGTGGATATATGTGATTATGGCTCTTTGTTGGTTGATTTTGCAGCTCCCAATTTCCTTGGAGATGATGTTGCTTATTTAGCCAAATTCTTGTGTAGAGACATGATCGTATGATGATTCAACTTATGGAAAGTAATAAAATGTTTTTTGAGGACAACTTTGAGCAATCTGAGATCCTTGCTTGAAATAATGGTGTTTTGCTCAATACCAAGTTGATTAGGACAACAGAAGTCTTATAATCCTATTTTCTGTTGCCCTCTAAGTTGCCTGCCTCCCACTCCCTATTCCTTTGTTTTATATGGTGGTTTAGGAATGTAACAACAATATATTTGATTTGGAATGCTTGAGTTAATTCCTGGGATAGAGGTTACTAAAAAGCTTCAATAGCCCCGAAAGTGTCAATTCTAATCCAAATTCTAATTCATGCTTATTAAACAGCAGACACTTTAATCAAACTTTTCCTGCTCTGGAAAGATAAAGTTGCCACTATAAACATGCATCTTGAAGAATGTTTTAAACAACCACTATGCTACTTCCTGATCTGTTAATATAACTGAACCATTGATAAACTACAGGTAAAGTTGTTGCTAAATTCTGTGCCAAGTATCTACATCAACAAGTGCTCAAGTATGAAGCATATTTACATGGTGACATAGGAACTTCAGTCCAGAAAGCCTTTTTCAGGTTAATTGCTTGAGGTTTTGAGCTCTATAATTGACTATACAACATCCTGAGAACTCTTATAGCTGTCTCTTAGTGTTTAATTATTACTTCTTTTAATGTTTTAATTGTTTAAACAGAGTTCTGATTCTATATGTATTTTCCACGAGCCCTTTCCCAGTAGCCACTAATAGTAGTTAATGTTAGTGGTGTTCCATTGCTTTGTTGTAATTTTCAACTTTGACCGATATACACTGTGTTTGCTCTATGCATTTCATAAATTCTGGTTGAAAACTGAAATCCCTATTATTGAATAATTCACTTCTGTTCGGACTGAATTTCTTGAATTGTTGCTGGCTATGTTAATAACTTAATGTATTGTATTTGATGGATGATATGTTAAGTCCTGTTTCGCGCATTTTATTCCTTATATTTCTTTTCCCACTAGTTGAAAGCTTGTATGACCAGAGGCGGAGCCAGGATTTGAAGTTTATGGGTTCTGAATTTGCCACAGAACCCATAGCTCGTCTTAGTTACTGGGTTCACAATTGAATATTTATACATATGTAATAATTATTTAATATAAATACAATATATAAGCAAAAGTTACTACGTCCGGCCGAACCCGTACCTACTAAGCTCCGTCCCTGTGTATGGGTACTCTGATGGTGCTTATTATTATCGTAACAAATCCTTGACATTTCCAAAAAAAAATTGAAAAGACTGATGTGGCATTATAGTGTCATACTACGGAATTTGGTTAGTACTCGTTCCATCCCATTTTATGTGGCATACTTTAATTTTTAGTATGTCTCAACAAATTGTGACATTTCTATATTTTGGAAACTATTTAATCTTGTCATCTCCATTTACCCTTAATGACACTTGTTGTCACCCACTTCATGTCATACTATATTATAAGCATGAAGATCAAAAGTTGAATGTGAAAGATCAAAAGTTGAATGTGAAAGACCAAAATGATCCTATAATATTATTGAACTTTTATGCCCTTAAAAGTTATATTAATAATATCTTCAGTATTAATAACAGAAGTTAGTTTTGTAACATTAAATTTGACTTGGGATTATCAAAGAATTTATTAAGGTACATGCATCCAAGTTCTTCGCTTTACAAAGTTAAGCTCTTTAACTTCCCATATGTATAATAATTTATTGTAGCTAACATTTACAGTTCTTATATTTTATCTTCTCCTATTTTTCTTAGCTTACGTATTTGGATTGTTATGATTTTTAAGTGCACTCCTTTTCTTATAATGCAATCATGATTCAAAGTGTTTTACTATCTATGTACAAAACGATATAATTTTTTCAATTTTGTACTATTTATATGGGATAGACGTGCAACGCGCATTCCTAAGGACTAGTAAAAGTAAAACGTACTCACATGACTAAAACTTAATCCCAACTAAATGATATCGCCTATGTAGATCTTTTCTTCAATTGTGCCCTAATTTTTTGCTAGGTTTGCATGGATGCCTGTTGCACTATGAAATCACTAGTTGCTTTTTGTGCTTCTGAAGTACGTTGTGAGACTTTGTTTTGTTCTGATCCTGTTGCAGAATGGACGAGATGATGCGTGGTCAGAGAGGATGGAGGGAGCTGGCTGCACTAGGGGATAAATTGAACAAGTTCACGGGTATGATAGAGGGTCTTATTTGGTCTCCAAAAAATGGTGATGGAAACAACCATGTTGATGATTGGGCATTTGAGGAGGTACTTGCTGTGCCTCAGAATATTGAGTTAAAATGAGATAAAATAATATGCCGTTGTCTCTTTTTTGTCTTTTCAGTTGATAAAACCATTTTGAAATGGAAATTGGGGTATTTAATTGAGAATATACAAAGCTTTCCAATCCAACTTTCGCGGGCTTCTGTACTCTTACCAGTGCTTCTTGCTTTTAGAAGGAAAGGAAGTTTCTCAATGAATACTCACGTTAAACTAAGAAGTTGGAACCTTGCATCAAAGTTGATCCTGTTTAATAAGTGAATGCTTGTACTGAATACTTCTGCTTTTTAAAATGGGGCAAAACTGCTGTAGAAAGATTTTTCCCTTCAAAATTATACATACTTATATTGTCCTTTAGTATGACACCTCGCCTCACCTGCACATTACTGTTGTTGTAGACATTGTTTAATTGGATTGTGTCTAAGTGTGTGTTATATTGATATCAGGGGCCTCACTCTGATTTTTCTGGGCCTACTTCTGGATGTACGGCTTGTGTTGCAATCATGAGAGAGAACCAACTCATTGTTTCAAATGCTGGTGACTCTCGCTGTGTAATTTCAAGGAAGGGCCAGGTAATTTGCCATCATTTNNTTTTTTTTTTTTTTTTTTGTGTCCAAAGTTGTTTTCTTACTAGGGGTCCGGCATGCTATGTCTCTGGACTTGCTATAGCTGGGCCATAGTGTCGTGGCCCCCGATATGCATGCGTATATTATCATGAGGATGTTATGTTAGATTTTTCTGTTTAAACCTTAGCCTGAAATTAAAGAATGGATATCCAATACGTCTTTTTCTTTGCAGGCATACAATTTATCGAGGGATCATAAACCTGATCTTGAGGTTGAGAGAGAGAGAATTTTAAAAGCTGGTGGTTTTATTCATGCAGGACGTGTGAATGGTAGTCTAAACCTTGCAAGAGCTATAGGTATTATTCCCGTTTGCTGTGGACCTTTAATAATCTATTAAAAAGCTAGTAGTCATGCAAATGCATTTAACACTTCACTAGTGGAATATATAGAGATTGCTAGTTTGTTATTAGGACTGAATAATAAGCAATAAGAATTTTTATAAGTAAGCCCCTTGGGCTTTGGTCTAGTGATAAGCTTGTAGAACGTGATGTTGGATTAGCTGCACGCCACGGATTTGAACCCTGCTGTAAGCAAAATCATGGTATATAAATGGAGAAGGGTATAGGGGCTGGCACATTATCCATTTCTCGGTAATAAAAAAAATAAAATTATTGATAACTAATTGATGACTGTAACGGAAGATGAAATATAACTGATACAATTTTCAAAACTAGAAATGTTTTGGTTACTTGGAATAGATGGCAAAGAAGGAACCATCTGTTTTATAAGATAATTAGCAAACTTTGAACTTAATTGCAGGTGACATGGAATTCAAGCAGAACAAGTTTTTGCCTGCTGAGAAGCAAATTGTAACTGCCAATCCAGATATAAACACTGTATGTTCCTTCAGTTCATATATCACGCAATTTGTTTTATGATAACTTTGAGACATGGCTGTTTTTCAAGAAAGCTAGATCCAATTTCTCTTGTTTGGTTTGGCAACATATTTTACTCTTTTTGGGGCCAAGAAGCAACAAGCCACTAAATTTCAGCTTTGTCTTGACATGTGCCTCTAGGCTACCTTCCGTTATCCCTTTAATTATACTCTTGAAAATCATAATGTACATTTTCTGGGATGTTTAAGTGCAGTTTTATGAAGTAAAGTTTCTGTCTCATTTCTGTTCGAATATCCCTAACTTATGGACACAACCGGAAAGATTTAACCGTAATTCATTCTGCACAATTTTTTGCAAGTTTGAAATGACAAGTGACAAAATCACTGGCTGTTTCTAACATACTAACCTCTTGTTTATAAATTCCAGTATCAGATATAGTTTCTTTATTCTTCTATATATCAATTGTTTTCTTTCGGTTCTTGATATCCTGGTTAAGTAATTAGTGTAAATATAAATGGTGTTGTAAGGCTCAAAAGGAGAAAACAAACATTAAGAATGTTTAGATAGTTTGTTAATATGTTGTGCAGCCTACTTCTCCTTGGACCCTCCAACTTATGGGACTCAACAGGGGATAAGGAAATATTATTTGAGAAACTAGAAGGTGGTGGGGATTGTGGGTAAGAGATTTAATGGTCTTCAATTGAGCCTACTGATAACAAATGGTTATGGAGATTTATCATGGAGGGCTAGGCATCTGTCTTGATTATATTGTACAGAATATTCTTAATGATTATATTAGTTTAGAATAATCAAGACTATCGTGTATATATCTACTTCTTGGTATAGTCCTTGTATGCGGGTGTGTTTTGCCCTTCTTTTAATGTCACTGAAGCGGGTCCTGCAGTGGTTTCAGATAGTATCAGGTCTCAAAATCAACCTCGGCAAGTGTGAGATTTTCCCGGTGGGTGAGGTTGCTAACATCCATGCTTTGTCTTATGTTCTCAGATGTAAGGTGGGCTCCCTTCCCACTGCTTGCCTTCGTTTCCCATTAGGCACTTCGCATAAGGATACTACGGTTTGGAATCCAGTGAAAAGGGTTGAAAAAAGATTAGCAGGCTAGCAGTAACGGTACTTGTCAAAAGGCGGAAAGGAAGTGCTCATTAAAAGTGCTTTATCAAGTATGCCCACCTATTACTTGTCCCTGTTGCAAGCTCCTGTGAGCATCACAGAAAAACTGGAGCGACTTCAAAGGAATTTTCTTTGGGATGCAGCGGATGGAACTAGAAAGTATCATCTAGTGAATTGGCAGACAGTTGCTTCCCCAAAGAAGTGGGGTGGACTTGGAGTAAAAAATCTTAGGGTATGTGTTTACCGTGAAAATGGTAACAACAATTAAATTTGTAAATGGGATTCTAAAAATACGTTATCTATTCTTATGCTAGTTGTAGAGCAGTTGATGCTAAGAATATGAAGTTTAACGAGGAGCCAAGACGGGGCAGTAATCAAACCGGGAGACTTGCTGCCCGAGCTTCGGACTGGTCGATGAAGGGCCTCGGGGTCGATATCCGGCTCGAGCTTGAGCTATCGGGGATAGTCGGGAATGGGATAACAATTGAGATATGATCTAACAAGGCTATTTATGACCAATACCAAGCAACAAATGAAGAACAAGTATGTAACTGATAAATGCTAAGAGTGGCCTCGAGCCAGTAAGAACGAGCGAGTTAGAGAGAAGAAAGAGAGATATTATTAATCTTGTGGAGAATAGTTGGAGCAGTGTTTGAAAAGAGCGCGCTTCGTCGCTTAAAGCGCGAAGCGACAGAGCATCGCTTTTCTGTGCCTAAGGTGACGCGAACAGTTGAAGCGCACGCTTCAGAGGAAAGATCGGCGAGGCGACGAGGCGAGTGAAGTGACGAATCGATCGCTTTTGTTCAAAAATCGCAGCTGGGCCTTTTTAAAAAAAAAAAAAGATTAGGTCTGTTTTTAATTTATACAAAACAAACCCCTAATTGCTGCGCGACATAACGGAAGCCAATTGCTGCGATTTTCTCTTCTTCATCGAAAAAATTAAGGTTTTGGGACAGAAAGTTTCTGCTTTCTTTTCTCTTCTTCATCGCAGCAGACCAGCACCAGTCCGCAGCTCCAGTCGACCAGTCCAGGTAAATTTTCTTCTCCTTTTTTCTCATTTTCTTCTTCTTTCTTTCTTCTTCTTGTTCTATTTTCTGCTTCTTTTGCTTCGTCACTGACTCGCTGGAGTTCTGTCTTCTTTCTTCCTTCTTCTTTCTTCTTCTGAGTTTTGTCTTCTCTTTTTTACTTCTTTCTTTCATTATTTATAATTTATATATTTTATATTTTTCAGTTTATTTGATTTTTTAGTGTATATTTCAGTAATTAAAATTAATTATTATATATGTTATATTTTCAGTTTATGTGATTTTTTAAATGTATTTCAGTTTATATAATTAATTATTATATATATTATATGTATTTTCAGTTTATTGATTATGTTTTTTCTTATATCTTAATAGGGATATTAAAATGTCTCAAAGTTCGAAAAGAAAGACCTGGCTTGGCGATATGGCGAATAAGATGTGGATTCTAATAATTTAGTAGCTTTGATTTTGCTTGTCCTATGGTTTGTGGATGATTTGGTGGTACCTAGTACCTACTTTTAAGTTTTTAAATTGAAGTTTTTAATTATTTATAATTTTACATTATGTTTTTTAAGAATTGCGCTTCACTTTAATAAAGCGTGCGCTTCGCTTTGCACTTCGCTTTTGAAGCGAGGCTAGCCCTTGTCGCTTTTTTGTGCTTCGCGCTCTCAAAAACACTGAGTTGGAGCAATGTCTCTACCTCTCCTTACACCCTTCAAGGCTTTTTTGTGCTTCGCTTTTTGGGCCTATCTCTACCTCTCCTTACACCCTTCAAGGCTAATTTCTCACTCCTCCTTACTGGGGTATCAATGTCTCTCCTCTTTATATGCCCCAACCATCTAAGTCTCGCTTTCCACATCTTGTCCGATCAATTTGTTCTCCTTTCTAACCGATCCATTGTGTGTCACGTCGCCCTATCCATAGAGGAAGAAGGCGTATGCTCAAGTCTAAAGGGGTTACGCCCACATTTTCCTGAATATCTTTATTCCTAATTTTACCCAACACGGTATCTCCGCACATCCATCTCAACTTCCTCATTTCTACTACATTCATCTTTTGGACATGGGAGTTCTTGACTGACCAACACTCAACCCCGTACAACATAGTCGGTCTGACCACCGCTCTGTAGAACTTACCTTTAAGTTTTGGTGGCACATTCTTAATACACAATCATCGGAAGCGAGCCTCCATTTCACCCACCCCGCCCCAATACGATGTGTGACATCCTCGTCAATCTCCACATTCCCTAATGTACTTGAAACTTCCTCTTCTAGGGATGACTTGTGCGTCAAGCCTCGTATCTCCGTCCATTTCCTGAGTCACCCTACTGAACTTGCACTCTAAGTATTCTGTCTTTAATGATTACGTTACTATTAAAACAACAACAACAAACCCAGTGTAACCCCACAAGTGGGGTCTGGAGAGGGTAGTGTGTATGCATGCTTCCCCTACCTTCAAGAAGGCAGAGAGATTGTTTTCGGTAGACCGTCGGCTTAGGAAAGGTAAAAGAAGCGCAACAACAAGCACATCAATCAGATAAACGAAGCAAAAATACAAAATTAACACTAGGTATTGCAATCATAAAGCTGAAACGAAAGCAACAACAAGTAATAACAGAAGTCAAGAAATACAAGAATACCCAAATGACACTAAGTCATGTACTAAAGTTGTTGTTACAGACAAGTACAACGCTCGACTACCTAATCTTTACCTTTATTCTCAACTTTCATACCTTCTTATCCATGGTCATGTCCTCGGTAAGCTGGAGCAACGCCATATCATGCCTAATCACCTCTCCCCCATACTTCTTCGGCCGGCCTCTACCTTTTCTTAGACCCTCCGGGGCCAACCTCTCACACCTCCTCACCGGAGCATCTATGTCTCTCCTCTTCACATGCCCAAACCATCTAAGTCTCGCCTCCTGCATCTTGTCCTCCACATGGGTCACACCCACCTTGTCCCGAATAACTTCATTTCTAATTCTATCTAACCTGATATGCCCGCATATCCATCTCAGCATCCTCATTTCAGCCACCTTCATCTTTTGGGCATGGGAGTTCTTGACTGGCTAACACTCCGCCCCATACAACATAGTCGGTATGACTACCGCTCTATAGAACTTACCTTTAAGTTTTGGTGGCACATTCTTATCACACAAAACATCGGAAACTAGCCTCCATTTCATCCACCCCGCCCCAATACGGTGAGTAACATCCTCGTTGATCTCCCAATTCCCTTGTATAACTGGCCTAAGGTATTTAAAACTTTCTCTCTTAGGGATGACTTGAGAATCAAGCCTCGCGTTTTCGTCCATTACTTGAGTCGCTCCACTGAACTTACACTCCAAGTATTCTGTCTTGGTCCCACTCAACTTGAAACCTTTAGACTCCAGGGTTTGCCTCCAAACCTCTAACCTCTCGTTAACACCGCCTCGCATCTCGTCAATCAGTACAATGTCATATGTAAATAACATACATCACGGCACATTCCCTTGAATGTGGCGCGTCAGTGCGTCAATCACCAAGGCAAATAAAAATGGGCTGAGGGCCGACCCCTGGTGCAACCCCATCATAACTGGGGAAGTGTTCCTACTCCCACTATCCTCACTCGAGTTTTAGCTCCATCATACATGTAGCCTAATGTACGCAACAGGAACACCTCTAGCCTCCAAACATCTCCACAGAACCTCCCTCGGCACTTTATCGTAATTCAAACTTTCTATATATAAGGATCCCTCTTGTACATCAAAATAAAGTAATTCAGCAAAAATTCTCTCTTTTCTCTTTTCATATTCGAAAAATTTGGCTGAATGACTTTCTGTGTTTATTCTCCTTGCATTTGTCCAACTTTTTCCTAATCTTTGGGAAAGCTCACCACTCTGTATATTGTATATTGGTACCTTCTTTTCATCACATGCTTCTTCTTTCTATTAGACACTAATATGGTCAATGCATGTAAAAAGCCAATCCAGTTAGACTCTTTGGGTAGTGGTGAGAAAAAAGATTGACTCCATATGTTTTGTTGACCTTACCGCTTTCTACAGTGTATCCATTCCCCTCAATTCCCACTAATCCTATCATGTTCTGCTATGATAAAATTAAGCTACTATCAGGGAGGACCTGAAAAGTATCTTCGGATTCATTGAATACGATACAAACTTTTTGGTGATAACGGGTGAAACCTCTCGATGGCAGACTGGAAAATATTATGGAACTTTGGAATATTGCAATTCTATATTTGTTAAAAGAAGGAGGAAGTCGATACTAAAAGTTCAGAGGTCGAGATTGATAATCGAAAAAGCAAATAGACTTTGGCTTTGTGAAACCAATGGTATTACGAGCGATTAAGATAAGAGAGGGAGAATGTCTATAGTCTACATAGATTTATACATATGGCCGACCCCAAATACTTTGGAAGTGACGCTTAATTGATTTCTTTCTTTCTTGAATCTTGCTTGCCTTCAACCCCCACCCATTCCACTCGGCACCTTTCTTTCCTATACTCCTCAGATAACATGTTCTAATATTGCTTTGTTCCCTGTTTAGGTTGAGCTGTGTGATGATGATAATTTTATTGTGCTAGCCTGTGATGGTATATGGTATGCATTCTAGACTCTTTTTAATTTGGAAAGCAGGTCTCAAGACAGAATTTTTAGATGTTCTTATTTTCAGATAATATGTAACAAATATTTCACATATCTGATTTTCATGTGGTTGTTTCCTCTCAGGGACTGTATGTCCAGCCAGCAATTGGTGGATTTTATACACGAGCAGCTGAAGTCGGTTAGTCTGACTACATTTTCTGCATCATTTGCATTGGTGTTAACTTTTGATGAAACTCTTGTCTGTGGAAAGTCAGCTATTAACAGAGGAATAATTGAGTCATATAAAGTTCATTGTCTTTATGATTTCTGTGAGAATGCACGGGAGAAAATATGATTGATATTATTCTCATATGTTAAACATGATACAATGAGCCCTATATATATACATAACATGTCCTACTCCTAATATATATGGGATTAGGGTTACATAACTATTCTAACACTCTCCCTCAAGTTGGTGCATATAAATCATATGTACTGAGCTTGTTACATATGTAGTTAATACGAGGACCAGTGAGAGACTTGGTGAAAATATCTGCTAGCTGATCATTCGACTTCACAAATTTTGTAGCAATCTCCTAAGAGTATCTTTTCTCTGACAAAGTGACAGTCAATCTCAATGTGTTTAGTTCTCTCATGGAACACTGGATTTGACGCAATATGAAGAGCAGCTTGATTATCACACACAAGTCCCATCTGACTAATCTCACCAAATTTCAACTCCTTGAGCAACTGTTTGATCCAAATTAGCTTACATGTCGCCATAGCCATTGCTCGATATTCTACTTCTGCACTAGACCGAGCAACCACATTCTGTTTCTTGCTCTTCCAAGATACCAAATTTCCTCCGACTAAGACACAATATCCAAAAGTAGAACGTCTATCAAAAGGTGATCCTGCCCAATCAGCATCTGAGTATCCAACGATCTGCTCATGGCCTCGATCCTCAAACAATAAACCTTTGCCTGGAGCTGATTTTATATACCGAAGAATGCGAACAATTGCATCCCAATGACTATCACACGGAGAATCCATAAACTGACTCACAACACTCACAGGAAAGGAAATGTTAGGTTTCGTCACTGTAAGATATTTTAATTTACCAACCAACCGCCTATATCTTGCAGGATCGCTAAGAGGCTCCCCGTCCTGGCAGAAGTTTAGAATTCGGATCCATCAGAGTGTCAACAGGTCTACAACCTGTCATTCCTGTCTCCTCAAGAATATCTAAGACATACTTCCGTTGTGAGATCACAATACCTGAGCTAGACTGAGCGACCTCAATACCCAGAAAATACTTTAGTTTGCCCAGATCCTTAGTCTGAAAGTGTTGAAAGAGATGTTGCTTCAATTTAGTAATACCATCCTGGTCATTGCCGGTAATAACAATGTCGTCAACATAGACCACCAGATAAATACAGAGACTCGAAGCAGAATGCCGATAAAATACAGAGTGATCAGCTTCACTCCGAGTCATGCCAAATTCCTGGATACTTGTGCTGAACTTACCAAACCAGGCTCGAGGAAACTGCTTTAGACCATAAAGTAACCGGCGCAAGCGACATACAAGGCCACGAGACTCCCCCTGAGCAACAAACCTAGGTGGTTGCTCCATATAAACTTCATCCTTAAGGTCACCGTGTAAAAAAGCATTCTTAATGTCCAGTTGATAGAGTGGCCAATGGGGAACAGTCGCCATGGATAGGAAAAGGCAGACTGATGCTATCTTAGCCACAGGAGAGAAGGTATCACTGTAATCGAGCTCAAATATCTGAGTATATCCCTTGGCAACAAGACGAGCCTTAAGACGATCAACCTTACCATCCGGACCAACCTTGACTGCATACACCCAACGACAACCAACAGTAGATTTACCTGAAGGAAGAGGGACGAGCCCCCAAGTACCACTCGTATGTAAAGCAGATATCTCATCAATCATAACCTGTCGCCATCCTGGATGAAACAATGCTTCACCTGTAGACTTAGGGATGGAAACAGAGGACAAAGAAGATAGAAAAGCATAATAGGGTGATGACAAACGATGATAACTTAAACCGACATAATGGGGATTAGGATTAAGGGTGGTCTGTATACCTTTCCGAAGTGCAATCGGTGTACTAGGAAGAGACAAGTCCGCAGTAGAAGCAGGGTCAGGTGCAGGACGTGAATCAGTTGGGCCTGATGCTGGGTGCGGACGACGATGATATGTCAAGAGTGGTGTTCCTGTGGCAGGGAGTATAGGAGGAGCCACACTAAACTCCCCAACGGTTGGAATGGGTAAGACTTCTGTGGCGGAAGGTGAAGGAGGAGCTATAGTAGACTCCTTAAAGGTCGGTATAAGTAAAACCTCAGATATATCAAGGTGGTCAGAATGGTCAGAAGAGGTAAAGAAAGGTTTAACTCAAAAAATGTGATGTCGGAGGACATAAAGTACCTCCGAAGATCAGGTGAGTAACAACGATATCCCTTCTGAACACGAGAATAACCAAGGAAGACACACTTGAGAGCACGAGGAGCTAACTTATCTTTCCCAGGGCTTAAGTTATGAACGAAACAAGTGCTCCCAAAAACACGAGGGGGAACAGAATATAAGGGTGACTAGGGAAACAATACTGCATACGGAATCTGATTCTGGATGGGAGATGAAGGCATCCGATTAACCAAATAACAAGCTGTGAGAACTGCATCGCCCCAAAAACGCAACGGAACATGAGATTCAATGAGAAGTGTGCGAGCAGTCTCAATGATGTGCATATTCTTTCTCTCTGCAACCCCATTTTACCGAGGGGTATAAGGACAAGAGGTCTGATGAATAATTCCTTGAGAAGCCATAAACTGGTGAAATTGAGAGGATAAATATTCTAAGGCATTATCACTGCGAAAGGTGCGAATGGAAACACCAAACTAATTTTTAATTTCGGCACAAAAATTCTGGAATATAGAAAACAACTCAGAACGATCTTTCATTAAGAAAATCCAAGTACATCTTGAATGATCATCAATGAAACTAACAAAATAACGAAATCCCAAGGTTGAATTGACTCTACTAGGACCCCATATATCAGAATGAACTAAAGAAAAAACAGACTCTGCATGACTCTCAATACTACGAGGAAAGGAGGCTCGGGTATATTTCCCGAGCTGACATGACTCACATTCTAATGTAGATAAACTAGACAAACTAGGCACATCTTCTGAAGCTTGGATAAACTTGGGTGTCCTAAACGTCTGTGAATTAGGTCCGGAGTATCTGTAACTAGACATGCCTTGGAGGAATTGAGTGAGTTAAGGTAGTAAAGGCCTACTGATTCAAGTCCTGTTCCAATCGTCTGTCCCGTACTGCGGTCCTGCATAATAAAAGAATCATCAATAAAATATATACCACAATGGAGGGCACGAGTCAAACGACTAACAGATGCAAGAGTAAAAGGACAGCCAAGGACAAAGAACGAAATCTAGAGTGACAGAGGGTAGGGGATTCGCTTGTCCAACACCTTTTGCTTTAGTTTGAGACTCATTGGCTAAAGTAACAATGGGAAGAGACTGTGAATACGCAATATTTGACAAAAGTGATCTATTACCAGAGATATGATCAGAAGCGGCTGAGTCCACAACCCATTGTCCAAGAGTACTAGACTGGGAAACACAAGCAAAAGAATTACCAGCAACAGAAGTATCAGTCTGAGCAACAAAGGCTACTTGTGGAGATGTCTGCTTACTTGCTCGATATTGAAGGAACTCATTATACTCCCCTTCAGATAAAGAAAATCCCTGATTACCTGTAGTCTCGGTCTGAGCAACATAAGCATTTTTGGTGGGCGACCATGTAAAGAATAACACACGTCACGAGTGTGTCCATGTTTATGACAATAAGAGCACTTGGGCCTAGATCTTCCAAAACGACCTCCTCCTCGTCTATTCTCCATAGTTTGAGATGCCCGATTGTCCACTGACTGGGATACAAGGACAGATGAGTCAAGTGTCTGTGATGAGCTCACTGGGTGACTTGGTGCTGCAGCAAGGCGAAGTAATTGAGAGAATAATTCATCTACTATGGGGACAGTCGGACTAGCCAAAATCTGGTCACGTACTGAATCAAGGTCATTAGGGAGTCCAGCGAGTGTAAGAACTAGAAACATCTTCTGTCGTTGCTCTTGTTGCTTTTCAATAAGCAGAAACTGGCATCAACGTCTCAAATTCTTCCATGACTGCCTGTACTTGTCCCAAGTAAGTAGACATGTCCAATTCCTGTTTCTTCAAGTTTGTCATTTGCGATATTACATCATAGAAACGAGATATGTCATTAGTGTATAAATTACGAGTCTTTTCCCAAACTAAATAACATGTCTAGAATGGACGGAACAAAGGCATCAACTTGGAATCAATAGATCGCCACAGGATACTACATAACTGAGCATCGACCTTCTCCTAAAGTGTTTTGGCCTTTTAATCACCTTCGCTAGCCTTTTTTGTTAAATGATCTTGAACTCCTTGACCTTTACACCACAACTCGACAGACGAAGCCCAAGCTAAGTAGTTTGAACCTCCATTAAAGGTTCTGAGGTAATCATAACACCGAAACTGCCAGAACCCGGGTTTTTAGACCCGAAAGCATTGACTCCCAAAGACATCGTTGGATTATCACCAAATAACAGAAAGAATCAACTGACAACTCGCTGCAACAGATGAAGGAAACACTGTTTTGCCAGAAAAGCTGCCGGAAAAAGTCAGTGTAGTCGCCGGAAAAACTCAAAGTGGTCGGAATCAAACGAAAAAGGTATGGATAGACTCGGAATTACTAGGCGATCCGACTGACCTACTGGAAGTTTTTCAAAAAATGCTCGGAACAGTGCTAACGCGCCGACGCATGGGGCGCGTGGGTCAGATCTCGTCGGGAAGTTTCTGGCGCGTGAGGGCGCGTGTACGTGAGTTTTCCGGTGGGGTTTACTGGGGTTTGGTCGCCGGAGCCTGAGGAGTCTTGTGGTGGTGTTGGTTTTTTGCACACACCAATAGAAATTGATGTGATTACGGGCAGCCTTCTAAGTCGCCGGAAAATTGCACGGCGACGAGGTCTTTCTTCCCGGAAGTCGCTGGAATGATGCACAACGATAGGTTTCTCACTAAAGCTCTGAAACCATGTGAGAATGCACGGGAGAAAATATGATTGATATTATTCTCATATGTTAAACATGATACAATGGGCCCTATATATATACATAACATGTCCTACTCCTAATACATATGGGATTAGGGTTACATAACTATTCTAACAAATTGTAAGGTATCAATGGCCAAAGACTAACAAATTGCTAAAAGAAAACTGTCTGAAGGTACCTATTTCCGGAAGGTTCTTTGTGTACATAAGAATGGCATTGTTACCAGTGAAGCCTGAAAAAGGAATAGTTTTGTTTTCCATGCATGCTAGCTGAGTTCAAAATGAGCAACTTTAACAGAGAGAAAGTTATTTGCATTTTACATGATAAAGTTTCTGCTATAAAAAGTGGCAAAAGGCTGCGACTAGTCGAACTATGTGTATAATGGGAAAAAGTCATTTGCAAGTAATCCCTTAATGAAGGGACCTGTAGATGTCCCGGTGAGGAGGAGCGAGAGGTTGGCCATGGTGGGGCTGAGGAGAGATAGAGGTATGCCTAGGAAGTATTGGGGAGAGTGATTAGGCATGACATGGCGCTCCTTCGGCTTACTGAGGACATGACCGTTGACAGGAGAGTGTAAAATGGGAATTAAGATAGAAGGTTAGTAGTTAGGCGGGAGTGTCTCAATTTCATGTTCAGTAGCATTAGTATTAATCTTTTATTTTCATACCTTCATATCCGTAGGTTTCTTTTACCTTATCTTGATCCTTTCGCTTCGATTATTCTATCACCCTTCTCCCTATCACCTTATCTTGTTGATATTACTACGTGTTGGGTAAGGTCTGCGTACACTTTACCTCTTCCTCCCCACCCAGACCTTACTTTGTGGGATTACACTGGTTTTTTTTGTTGTTGTTATAGTGATCAAAGAACAAAAGCTTCTGATTTAATGTGCTTATATACTTATTCTTATGTTTATGTTTATGTACAGGTCCATGTAGCAGAACTTTTTGTGTGTTGATGTACTATAATTTGTTTGAGACCTATGGCAAATAAAAACAACAAAATAAAACATGCATGCACTTCTTCGAAATGGTATTTTCAGTAGGAGTGAATTAATTGCTTTTTTGAGATGCATTCTGGTATATTTTATCGCCCAACTGATGGAGCTCAGTGGTTGCAATTGCTTTCAAGTGATTACCTGGTAATAAGCAAAACTGAATCATCAATATTCTTGGAATGGATAAGGAACATTAATTTCGTTGTTAGTAGACATTTCTGGTATTTGGTTACTCGTCTGCTTCAATGGGCTATTATAAATTACTATAGTGTCTGTTCTGGATTACTGGATGCAGCAAAGACCAAGACCTGCTAAATAGTCCCTAGTCCATTTGGATCATGTGGCATCTTCATTTCAGATACATGAGCAGACATCTCATCGTCTATGATAATTTTTTCAATCAGTGTGCTGTTTCTCTCCGTTTGAGACTTTTGTCCATTTTGCACTTGGCGGGTGGTGGGGTGGGGTGGGGGTT